CTGTCCCAGCTTATTCAAATATGTGTAACTGAGGGAGCAGGGAAGAAAGCAAACGAACAAACAAACAAACAAACAAAAAAGCACGACAATCCCTTCCTCGGAATCAGAGGAAACGTAAAGAGATCGTACGTGTTTCAGAACTGCCTCAAAATTCCAGGCCATACCTGGGAAAATACTCTTCCTGGATCAGCAGAAGCATCTTCCAAAATTGCCCCTGGTACTGCTTCATGAGAGCATTCCCACACACCTGAGGAGCACAAAACAGAAGAATTTCAAGCCATAATATTGGGAAAGGAGGGACAAAATCTCCCTCAAACTTATCCAAGTTAAGAGAGTGCAGCTGTTCTAATTCATATGAAGGTTTCCGTGTTTCCCTGAAAATAAGACCCTGTCTTATATTGTTTGCTATCAAAAAAAAGGACCCGGGTCTTATTTTGGGGGGATATTATCCGCTAACCTCACTTGCGCGCGTCGCCCAGGGCCTCCTTTTCGCTATCAGAGGCCTTCAGGAACTTTTTCTTCTTCTGGATCGATCCAGAGTTTTGTTATCAGCTACAGAGGCCCTGCAGAAGAAATGGGCCGGCAAGGCAGGTGTTGGGGTGTGCGAGGCCTGGCTACAACTGTCCAAAGGTAAATAGTAGGGCAGCTCCACCCTCCCCCATCCTCACCCTAGCTTAATTTTTCCCCATCCACTCTGGAGTGGGCGGGGTCTTAATTAGGGCTTATTTTTTGGGGGTGGGGCTTATATTGGGTGCACATGTAAAAATCTAGCTAGGACTTACTTTCAGGGTAGGTCGTATTTTCGGGGAAACAGGGTAATGTTTGTTAAGCCTGGATTCCCCAACGGGTGTTAAGGAAAACAAACTAAACAGAATGTGCAGCGAAGTCAGATAGGAAGACAGGTAAATGTGTGAGATAAGTTTTCTAGTTAACACGCAGTAAAAATACAGATACGCTTGTGCTATCAAAATTATAATTTATTCCATTTAAGAATTATAGCATAGTCATTATAAACAGTCCATTAGTCATATACCAAATTCAGTCAAGTCTTGTCGAGGATACTCTAATTGCAAAGTCCGTGTCGAATAGCCAGTGTCAGTACACATATAATAAATCTGTCCAAAACTTATCTTCTCTCCGTTGAGAAATATCTTCAAAGTAATCCAACACTTCTTCTCCTCCCCGATCCAGCAAGAATGCAGTCTTCAATAAGCCAGCCAGTAAGAGCCAGAGAGTGCCTTGCTGCTTATATAGTACTTTTACAGCTGCACCCTTAATTACATTCCTTTAGCTTAAAGTCACATACACTTTATCTGACAAACCATGATTCATCATTTTATTATCTTTACCCAAAACAGTTAGGGTAAAACAATGTTATCCCTAACAATGTTAATTCACTGGAGGCTTTTAAGAAGAGTCTGGACAGTCACTTGTCTGAGATGGTATATATAGGTTCTCCTGCCTGAGCAGGGGGCTGGACTAGAAGACCTTCATGGTCCCATCCAGCTCTGCTCTATTCTATCTTCGATTCTATTCTCTCCTCTTCTATTCTGAGCGTAACCACTCATGAGCTGGAAGGAGAAGGAAAAAGCCACAGGCAGACAAGAGCTCCGCTTACCTCCAGGAAATCGAACAGAATCGTTGCCGTCACATCTGCCAGCGGCTCCATGTTCAAAACCTGTGCCAGCCAACGCCAGGCATGGTTTAATCCATGGGGGTGAGTCTAATGAACAAAAGAAAGACCAGTCCCCTAAATTACTCTATTTTAACCCAAAAAAACCCCACCCTACTTTGGTTTCAAGCTCCCTTTCGTAGGTGGTTTCTGTCCGAAGCAACCTGTGATGATCCAAGGCGTGGCACAAAAATAACAAAGTCGCAAACATAGAATAAATTCCTTTTAATGCCTCCAACTTGGCCCCAATGTCCAATTATCCTCAGCAGGACATCAAACTCTTTAAAAAAAAAACAGTCTACGGAAGGAGTAAATGCAGCTGAACCCAAAGTAAAGATAATTAGAAATAAAAAAAACCAACACAAACCACACTGAAGTAATTAATAGGGCAGGCCAGGATGATAAATTGCAGACTTCCACCAGATAACGCAGCAACCACAGTTGGGAGGAAGCCAAAACCCAGATAAGCTTTGACAAGAATAATGCACACTTTGCTTCCAGCAACTTTGCCATGTGCAGTTTGTCCTTTTAACCAGTCCTCCCAGCTGCAGCCCATGAAGGGGATCAGGGCCCTTTCCTCCCCCGTAGTCCACGCCACTCGCATTTCTCCCCATCCGGTCCTCCCTGTGTGCCCTAGGATGAAGAGGGAATGGGCCTGGGTCTTCCTCTGAATGCCCAGCCGGATTGTGCCCTTCCCCAGTTTCCTCCACAACCACCAGAACCACACTCCCACTCCCTGTCAGCTGCTCAACCTCCTCCTCGGAATCAGACTCCAACAGGGGCAGGACACAACCTTGAACGGAGGGAGTGAAATGTCTGAACAGATTCAGAGGCTGTCGGAGTGGACGATGCCCGCTTGCAAGGAAGGGATCGGAGGCTGCCAGAAGGGTGGGGAAGTCCACTTTGGATTGATCAGCGATGACAGACGACGCACTTACTCACCCCTTGCTTATCTCGATAAGGCCACTGAAGCTGCAGGATGGCCGCATAGAGTCGGATCATTCCAGACATCCGCTTGAGAAAGTTATCTTGGGGCTCTACTTTCCCATCCTTCACTTGGTAGCCAAGTATCCTAAAGAAGACGTGGAGATGATCCTCAGGCTTTGACCAAGCTAAGCAAGTAGCTATTGATCACAGAATAAAAGACATGGAGTTCCACTTAGAACTGAATAGGACACCTCTCCAAAGTAGGAACAGAATTAAACAGGGCGCGTGGGAACCAGCGAGGAATTTAAAGGACCTGATCTTCCCGAAACATAGAATAGCATTCTTCAGAGCCAGATTTAACACCCTCCCCTCAGCACTCCTCCAGGGCAGGTATAAGAAGACCCCAATAGCAGAACGAGTATGTATATGTAGTAAAGGAGAAGTCAAAGAGATCGCATGTGTTTTATTGCAGTGATCCCCAACCTTTCTTATGCCGCGGCCCGGTACTGGCATTAGCTGGGCGCCGCCATCTTTTTTTGATGAAAACGTGCTTCCGGTGAGCTTTCTACCCGGAAAAGCTCACCGGAAGCACTTTTTCATCAAAAAAAGATGGTGGCGCCCAGCAAACCAGCGGCCCGGTAGGACTTGTTCCACGGACCGGTACCAGTCCGCGGACCGGTGGTTGGGGACCCCTGTTTTATTGTACTTGGAGTTACACAGAGTTTATAGGTCAATGTATAAAGGTAAAAGTTCCCTTTGCACATCTGTGCTAGTCGTTTCCAGCTTTAGGGGGCGGTGCTCCTCTCCGTTACAAAGCCAAAGAGCCAGCTCTGTCCGAAGACAGTCACGTGGCCGGCACAACTGAACACCAAAGGCGCACAGAACGCTGTGACCTTCCCACCCAAGGTTGTCCCTGTTTTCCTACTTGCATTTTTTTTTTACATGCTTTTGAACTGTTACCAATTGAGGACCGCCTGCGCAGCCTCACTCAGCTCACTCAGCCTCACTCACTCCTGCCCACTTGAGTGGAATCACCTCTGATACTCTTCCAGTGGGGTGCTTTCCTTCATCGCAGGGTAGAAGGGCACGGCGTAAGGACACTTTTTGTGCAAGTGAGCCAAGGTGAGGGTGCCCACCTTGGGGTGCAGCTCCCAGATGCCAGACGCCACCACGGCAATGGGGAACGCCGCTTCGTGGTGTGCGGCCACTTCTTCTTCACCTTGTTTCTGGGGGAAAAAAACCCCAAAAATAGATCTTTCAGTCTGCGCTAAGTGCTCTGAAGTACAAGAGAAGTTTCACCTATCACTCTCACTCAACATAGGTTCAAAATAGTTCCTAAATCCTGCCTTGTGCACAGGGTGGTGTATAAACACAGCCTGCGTGCAAATTGTAATGCCAAGTTCCTTTTTCCCCCCAGTCTGAATTGTCCAGATTTCCTTCCTTCTGTTTACTGAATTATTGAGTTGTGGTGGTGCGGTGATTAGAATGCACTATTGCGGGCTAATTCTGCCCACTGCCAGCAGTTCGATCCTGACCGGCTCAACGTTGACTCGGCCTTCCATCCTTCCGAGGTCAGTAAAATGAGGACCCAGATTGTTGGGGGGGGCAAGAGGCTGACTCTGTAAACCGCTTAGAGGAGGCTGGGAAGCACTATGAAGCGGTATGTAAGTCTAAGCGCTATTGCTATTTCCAAAGCAGCTTAAAAGAAGCCAGAGTTAAATGATGATTTAAAAACACCACCTGTGCAGAATCATGTTTTTGATCTGAAGGAGGTAAGGAGGGAGGGAGGGATTTTTTTTTTGCCAATATGACCTTCTTACCACAAACTTTTCAGCCAGTTTGAAATAAACAAACTCTAGGCCCTCGGGGTGCTGCGTGACGGATATTTTATGGCCGCCGCAGGGCACGTATTTTCCTGAAAGGAGGCTGTTGATCTTTTCAAATATCTCCTTCAGTTGAGAACCTGTGAAGACCAGCAGAAGAAAAAGATACCAATGAGGAAGCAGCTGGCGCATGAAGCCAGGTTTTTATGCGTTCAAAATAAGTGACATTATGTAAGCAAGCATTGGGGCGAAGAAAGTGGTTTTTGGTGTGATATCTGACATATATTCATTAAGGTCAGACAGGTGTTCTCTTATCATTTTCTTGCTTATTTTAATTTTAATTTCTAGTCTTTTACAGTTAGGTTTTTAGTAGGTTGGGTTACAGTTTCTTTTTGCGTGAAGACTGATGCAAAGAATGAGTTAAGCAACTCTGCTTTCTCTCTACTGCCTGTTATTTCCTTCCCACCTTCTCTCTTTAGTGGGACCAACTGTTTTCTTGACTTTTTTCTTGCTATTTATATGTTGAAAGAAACTTTTTAAAAAAATTATCTTTGACTTTTTTTGCAAGACTCTGTTTATTCTGAGCCTTTGCTTTCCTGACTTTATCTGTGCAGATTCGGGCTATTTGCTGATATTCTGGCTTAGTTATATATCCTTCTTTCCATTTTTGTACTTATCCTTTTTGTCTTTCAGTTTATGAGAGAGTTTTTTTGTGCAACCATGTTGGTTTCTTCTTGGATTTCTTGTTTTTCTTTTTCAATAGTATTGTGTTGGACTGGGCTTTTATTATCATATTTTTCAATGTTTCCCATGCTTCTTGAGTTGTTTTCCTCTTTAGGATTTTTATCCATGGATTTTTTTTCTAAGGCTCGGAGTTTGTTAAAATTGGCTCTTTTAAAGTTTAAGACACTGGTTGGTGTTTGCATTATATCAAATTCCAATATGACATGGTCACTCTCACCCAAGGTTCCAGCAACTTCAATTCCCTCTATCACTTCTTCTCTTATTAGTAAGAATTAGGTCCAATATAGCTTTTTCTCTAGTTCCCTCTTCTACTGTTTCAATGACAAAGTTGTCACCTAAGTTGGTTAGGAATCTGTTCTATCTCCCACTTGCTGTAGAGTTTCAGAGTTGGAAGGGACTTTATAGGTCATCTAGTCCAACCTCCTGCCCAAGCGGGAGTCCCTACACCATTTCTGACAGATGGCAGTCCAATCTCTTCTTGAAAGTCTCAAGTGATGGTGCTCCCACAACTTCCGAGGGCAAGTGTTCCATTGGTTGATTGTTCTCACTGTCAGAAAGTTTCTCCTTATTTCCAGGTTAAATCTCTCCTTGTTCAGTTACCATCCATTATTCCTTGTCTGGCCTACAGGCGCTTTAGAAAATAGCTTGACCCCTTCCTCCTCTCTGTGGCAGCCCCTCAAATATTGGAAGACTGCTATCATGTCTCCCCTGGTCCTTCTCTTCTCTAGACTAGTGAATAGTTCAATTCAGTTTATTACAGTCACAGATCAGAATAAATAAAAACAGTAAATATACAATTAAAAATTCTAGTATAAAATAATAAATAACAACTAAAATCTATGATAAAGTCCAGTCTGTCAATTATACATGGTCTAACTATACTAAAATTACAGTCCATAAACTGTGTGGCCCGTTGTCAGTTTCATACTAAAAGAAAAAGGAATAAGCAGTAGTGCAAAGGGTTTGCCACATTTGTTACATGAAATAACTGTGGTGCATTAGACACGTGTTTCCAACGAAACCCCAGTGCTGCTGCACAGAAAATAGTGATTAGTGGTTAATAAACCGCTAATATTGTGATCAGAAGCCTTACAAGGAACAAACAGAGCTAGGGTTCACCTGCAATGGTAGAAATCTGGCTAACAGGGATGGTGGCAGCTTTCTGCAATTCCATTTTGATTTTTTTCTCCTGAAAAAGAGGAAAACATTCAGAAGCTGACCCTTAGTGCAGTATTCAAAATTCATGGTTTTGTATAAGTGGTGGCTGAGGAATAGAACTAGGAATAGAAATGAAATGAAATAGGAATAGAAATGGAATAGAAATAGAAATGGAAATAGAAATAGAAATAGAAAAATAGAAATAGAAATGGCGTCACATAGCATAGAACACAGAACAGGTTACAGAATAAAACAACTACAGGAGTAGAGTAGAGTAGAGTAGAGTAGAGTAGAGTAGAGTAGAACACAATAGACTATATAATTAGAAATAGGAATAGAATAGGATGGGATAGGATATAGGATAGGATAGAGCTGGAAGGGACCTTGGAGGTCTTCTAGTCCAGCCCCCTGGGAGTTGTAGTCTAGAACCCTTAAAAGTTGCCAAGGTTGGATATACGCCTGCCCTACGACATTCCTACCTGCGTGTCTTTGCTGTTGGCCAAGCGACTGAAGGAAGCCACACAATGTTCCGATTCTTTCTGCAGCTCTTCGTACCACTTCATGATGGAGGGGTCGGCCTTTACCTGAAGCCCTGGAGACATGATAGCAAAGAGGATAAACGAGCAGTGGAAACTAGCGCCGGTAGTTCTTGGCTTACAACCATCCAACAGACACGCAAACGTTAATATCTATAGACTCTGCAAAAAGAGACAATCAACCAGCCCAAAAGAGAACAAAAGGACTCCAGCACCTCTCCACCAGCGATCAGCACCCAGATCAGCATAGATTTAACTCCAAAGGTTAACATCACATCAACAATCAAGTAAGCAATACCCCAGTCAAGAAACTGCCAAAGAAGCCAACAGCAAACGGCCCAAGCTAACAATCTCTAATCTCTGCCCTCACCCACACAGACAGGGGAAGACTCCAGAATACAAAGCTGACAGCAAACAGCACTCTTGACTAGCACTGTCAGGATTCTGGCAATTGCCCTAATTAAGTAATGATTCTTGAGCCAAACTTTAAAAAAAAACTTCAAAGGATTCATTAGAGGCAACATATAGAGCCTCCGTGGCGCAGCGGTTAGAGTGCAGTTCTGCAAGCTACTCCTACTGCAATTTGGCAGATCGAATCCCACCAGGCTCAAGGTTGACTCAGCCTTCCATCCTTCCGAGGTGGGCAAAATGAGGACCCAAATTGTTGGGGGCAAGAGGCTGACTCTGTAAAACCGCTTAGAGAGGGCTGTGAAAGCACTGTGAAGCGGTATATAAGTCTAAATGCTATTGATAAACTAGCACTGCCCTGCACGAAGCCAACTCTGGCATACGTAATTTACAGTCCCCTGTGACCCTGTTTCCCTGCCTCCCCCCCCCCCCAGGGGGGGGTCTCATCAACCAGATTCTCCAATTGAGCACGGGCTGGGTGTCATCACTCACGTTCTCCAATGAAATCTATTTGTGGGTAAAAGCCCTGGTATTTTAGTTACAACCATTTAAAGATAAAGAGTTGGAGTGGACTTTCCATTTCAAACTGCTGCAACCGCTCTTCCAGATTTCCTTCCTCCCCCTCCTTTTTTTTTATGTCGACTACTAAAACAGGCATAGGAATGTTTTACGAGTCGACAGTTACCTAGCTGGGTAATGAAAGGTCTGCAAGAAAGCAAGCAAGCTGAAAAAGAACACCAAGGACCCCCTCATTACAACTGTTCCTTCAGTTACAACGGCTGTCAACTCGTAAAACATTTCTGTGGCCGTTTTATAGTTGCCGTTTTATAGGAGAGCAGTTTGAAAGATGCGGCAGCTTGGAATCCAAAGTGCTTTCCATGCATAGTTTTTCAGGGATTGTAACTAGGTGACCGAAGTTTCTGCAAAATTCTAACTGGAGAGCCTGATTGATGACTTTGGGCTATGGAGGTGTCCCATTGGAGGATACGAATTATGATACACCCAGGGGGGTGCGGGGAAACCAGAGTCAAGGGTGACAGTGAATTATGTGTCTCAGAGTCAGCTACACCCAGGTAAAAGTAGGGAAAAGCGGCTTCGAAAGAGGAGTAATTATTTAAGAAAAAGCACCACCGTGGAGAGGATGATGGGAGCTGTAATCCCGCAAAATCTTGAAGACGCTAGAAAAGCAGATACATGGATTGCATATTGGGGTTTTACCTCCAGCAAGCTTTCCGGGATCCGAAGTCTGGGATTTTGCCAGCTCCTGTTTCTGCAGTTCCTCTGTTTTTTTGGCCTCGGCTGCTGCAGCCGCAGCCAAAGCCAATTTCTCCTCCTGCTGCTTCTTCTTTTCCAGGCCGAGCGCAATTTCTTGCTGCATGTCAGAAAGCAGCTGGTGCATTTTGAGCAGGGTGTGCTCAGCGGAAGACACATCTGCCTCGCTGGGGAAAGCCTGCTTTTGGGGGGGAAAAAACCCAACAAACCAAAAATCAGAAAACCAGTTTGAATGAATAAATGAATGAATTCTTTATTGGCCAAGGGTGATTGGACAGAGAAGGAATTTGCCTTGGTGCATCTGCTCTCAGTGTACATAAAATGAAAAGAGACATTCATCAAGAATCATCAGGAACAACACTTAATAATAGTCATAGGATACAGAAATATTGAATTGCTAACTAGGGCATACAAAACCTTCGCTAGACCAATGCTTGAATACAGCTCATCTGTCTGGAATCCTCACTGTATCTTGGACATTAATCCAATTTTAGCGAGTCGAGAAGTATTTCACGAGAAGAGTCCTCCACTCCTCTGCTCGAAAGAAAATACCCTACACCACCAGGTTTGAAATTTTGGGCTTGGACAACCTTGAACTACGCCGCCTACGGCTGGACTTAAGCGTACTACACACAATTATCCGGTACAATGTCCTACCAGTCAATGACTACTTCAGCTTCAACCACAACAATACAAGAGCACACAACAGATACAAACTCAATGCAAACCGCTCCAAACTTGATTGTAGAAAGTACGACTTGAGCAACAGAGTGGTCAATGCCTGGAATGCCCTACCTGACTCTGTTGTTCCATCCTCTAACCCCCCCGACTCCTTTAACCTTAAACTGTCCACTACTAACCTCACCCCCTTCCTAAGAGGTCTGTAAGGGGCGTGCATAAGTGCACCATCGTGCCTACCGTCCCTGTCCTATTATCCCCATTTATTCATACCTATTCCCTGTATTCTTACTCATCTTTATACTTATACCTATTAGCTTGTAAGCGATTGACAAATCAAATCAAATCAGCAATCCAAACATACTTGGAAACAATCAATATAAAACATAAGGATGCAAGTGACAAAGTTACAGTCCTACAGTCACAAGCGGGAGGGGATGGGTGATAGGAGTGATGAGAAGATTAATAGTGATAGTAATGCAGACTTTGTAAATAGTTGGACAGTATTGTAGGAATTATTTGTTTAGCAGAGGGATGGCATTGGGGAAAAAACTGTCCTTGTGTCTAGATGTTTTGGTGTGCGGGGCTCTATAGCATCGTTTTGAGGGAAGGAGTTGAAACAGTTTATGTCCAGTATGTGAGGGGTCTATAAACTGAGGATATCAAACGATGCTTGGATGGAAGCTCTGGGCATTATCTGTTAGGTTTCTGGAAGGAAACCAGCTGGAGCTGCATTTCCAGACCACTGAACTGATCGAATGCCAATCTTCCTTTGGGTGCTGGCTTTAATTAAAGGTTTCCGAATCAGGCCTCATAGATGAGATGGATGGATGATGGACTGACAGACAGACAGATGTTCAAAACAGCTTTTCATCCGCGTGGTTTGGAAGGCTGCAGAACAGAACAAACTACAGATACGGTTGGGTTCAAAATTGTTGTTGCTAAGCGAGACAGCTGTTGAGTGAGTTTTGCCCCGTTTTATGATCTTTCTGGCCACAGTTAAGATAATCCCTGTAATAACATGGTTATTAAGTGAAATCTGGCTTCCTCATGGACTTCACTTTCCGAAGGTTGGAAAAGGAGATCGCGTGGCCCAGAGGGACACACTGCAGCCATCATAATTAGGAGCCAATTGCCAAGCACACCTGCATTTTGATCGTGGGCCCATGGGGACGCTGGAACGGTCATAAGTGTGGAAAAAACAGTCATAAGTCACTGTTTTCAGTGCTGTTGTAACTTTGAATGGTCATTAAGCAAACTATTGTAAGCCAAGGACTGCCTATATCGGAGCAGAGTGACCCAGGAGGTGAAACTGATTCTCTTGAACTCTGAAGTGCGTTATTTTAAGAGCCAGGGTGGGTGCAGGGGTTAGAATGTCAGGCTAATTTTGCCCACTGCCATCAGTTCGATCCTGACCAGCTCAAAGTTCATTTGGCTTTCCATCCTTCCGAGATCGGTAAAATGGAGACCTAGATTGTTGCGGGGCAAGAGGCTGACTCTGTAACCTTGCTCAGAGAGGGCTGTAAGGCACGGTGAAGCAGTATATGAGTCTAAGTGCTGTTGGGAAGGAAAGAAGGAAGGAAGGAAGGATGAGAAAGAAGGAAGGAAGGAAGGAAGGAAGGAAGGAAGGAAGGAAGGAAGGAAGGAAGGAAGGAAGGAAGGAAGATGAGAAAGAAGGAAAGTAAATGAGAAGGAAGGAAGGAAGGAAGGAAGGAAGGAAGGAAGGAAGGAAGGAAGGAAGGAAGGAAGATGAGAAAGAAGGAAAGCAAATGAGAAGGAAGGAAGGAAGGAAGGAAGGAAGGAAGGAAGGAAGGAAGGAAGGAAGGAAGGAAGGAAAGAAGGAAGGAAGGAAGGAAGGAAGGAAGGAAGGAAGGAAGGAAGGAAGGAAGGAAGATGAAAAAGAAGGAAATGAGGAGAAGGAAGGAAGGAACCCATAGTGGAGCAGTGGTTAGAATGCGGCATTGCAGGCTAATTCTGCCGACTGCCAGCAGTTCGATTCTCACCAGCTTAAGCTTGATTTTCCATCCTTCCAAGGTGGGTAAAGGGAGGACCCAGATTGTTGGGGGAAACAGGCTGGCTCTGGAAAGCAGTATATAAGGGCTACGGCTATTACCTCATTGGCCATCCGGACTAAGGCAGACACCTCCCCACAGAGCTGATTGCCACGGTTGTTGTAGAGCGAGAAGTCGACGGCGGGCAGGTCTTTGTGCCGGGCGTTGAGGCCGATCTGTTGGTGGATCTGCAAAACCTCCTCCTGGATGGCGTAGAGGCGGCGCAGGCGTTCTTGGCTCTCCTCCCGCCGCTGGCGCTCCAGGTCTTCCTGCCGCTGCCGCTGCTGCTCGGCCTCACGGAGCTTCCGACTCAAAAGCTTCGGGAGGAGGGAAGGAGGGAGTTTCCGTTTGGGGAAAAGGGCAACGCCAACTCAAAAGGCTAAGGCTTCGTCTCGCCTACGCCCAGGTAATGTTAAGGAGCACCAAGACAGGCAAGAAGGTCCTTGGTGCTCTCTGAGCTGGGTGGCTTTCCTTGCAGACGTTTCATTACCGGACTAGGTAGCATCATCAAGGGTAGAAGGGAGTGGGATTTATGGGGGGGAGGAGGAGGAGGAGGAAAATTGTGGGATCCTTAGAGCTTTAGGATTTAGAATAGAATAACAGACCTGGAAGGGACCTTGGAGGTCTTCTAGTCCAACCCCCTGCCTAGGCAGGAAACCCTACACCACTTCAGACAAATGGATATCCAACATCTTTTTTAAAAAACTTCCAGTGTTGGAGCATTTACTTGTCCCACTGATTAATTGTTCCACCTGTCAGGAAATGCCTCCTTAGTTCTAGGTTGCTTCTGCCCTTGATTAGTTTCCACCGTGGCTTCTTGTCCTGCCCTCTGGTGCTTTGGAGCAGGAACCTTTTGGACCTCAGGGACCACCAAACTCATAATTTTAAAATCCCGCAGACCACTAATAGGGATTTTGACGGACGGTGGCTTGCTGACCTTGGTGGGAAAGTCGGTCCCGTATTCCAGAGCTGCCGGAGTCAACAGGACTGGCCCCTTTGGTCATCCTGGAGCAGCTGCTCCTCCACCTGGGTGCACCGGCCTGCCATGGGCTGGAGGAGCAGCTGCTCCGGGATGACCAAAGGGGCCAGTCCTGTTGACTACGGGCAGCTCTGGAATACGGGACCGACTTTCCCACCAAGGTCAGCAAGCCACCCCAGGGCGGATTTCCCTCCCCTGCCGTTGGTCTTACCTTCCAGTTCCAGCTCACGTGGTTCTACGCAAAATAACGTTTGCGCTCGGCCGAAGGGTGGGGGGGTGCAGCAGGTGGGCGGGCCACGTGGGCAGCACAGCCTTGTGTTCCCGCGCAGCCTGGATTAATTGCTTTGCGGGAGGGAACATTTCTCTGCGGACCACCAAAATCTTCTCGCGGACCACCAGTTTGTCCCCCGGCCCACCGCTTGGTGACCATTACTTTGGAGAATAGCTTGAACTCCCTCTTCTTTGTGGTAGCCCTTGAGCTATTGGAACACTGCTCTCGGAACTTGGGTTGTTTCCTTGAAGACGTTTCATTACCCAACTAGGTAACCTCATCAGTGCTTGAAGGGAGTGGGGTTTGCTCTTATTTTATATACTGGGGGCTTGCCCTGACCGTAAACAGCCCAACTAAAGGACTTCCAAGACTCCCACCAACACTAGAAGATAAACTGAGAGAAAAACCCCACTCCCTCCCAGCCCTGAGGAAGTTACCTAGTCGGGTAATGAAACATCTGCAAGGAAAACCACCAAATTCAAGAGAGCGCCAAGGACTCATTTCAAACCTGAACTACAAATATTTTCCTTTCCTGGCTGATGGCCCCACTTGCTGAAGAGGTGGCCTTTCATTTTATTTATTTGTCTCCGATGAGATTAAAAACGGCAGCAGGGCCTACTTGGCATATGCCCTGATCCATAAAGCATGTAGTCCTTTGTGTTCACATGGCTACACTAGGAACACCCATCTCTCTTCTTCTCCTTAGTTCTTCCTTCCCTCTTTCTGTCTCTTTGTCCTTCTTTTCCCATCGCTTTAAAAATGTAAAGAGAGGAGAAATAGAGGAGACGTGGATGGCGTGACCCTCTCCAGCTATGGACGGGAAACACCGGGCATCCTTGTAGCTGAAGAGGGGTGGTGATTAATTAGTTGAGGGGGCAAAAGGCTGAACTGCAAGACCCCCACCCCTTTCCCCCCCCCCCCTGCCTGGCCCATTTCTCTGCTTACTTTGGCTCTGCGGCGGTGTTCCTCCTTCAGTTTCTCCTGTTGGCCTTGAGCTTCTTTGGAGCTGGAACGAAACAGACACACACAGAGAGAGAGACTTTTAGCTATACAATCTGGGATGGACACCATTTGACTGGTGTGGGAGTAGGAATAGATTTCAAGAGGGGGAGAGAAATTGCAGACTTCAGGAACCAGGAGCACCACTCAGGTGACCCTGAGGACACAGATAAACCCCCACGTGCTTCAACAACCCTCTAAAACAAGGGTCTTCAAACTTGGCAAAGTTTTAAGGTTTATGGACTTCAACTCCCAGAATTCCTGAGCTAACAGGACTGGAAGAGGAATTCTGGGAGTTGAAGTCCACAAGTCTTAAAGCTATCAAGTTTGAAGACCCTTGCTTTAAGGTCTTACGGCAGTCTTTCTCCACCTCAAACCTTCTCAAGAACTATCTCAGGGGAATTCTGGGAATCAAGGTCCATCTTAAACTTGGCAAGGTGGAGAAACACTTGAGACTCTAGCACACGGCTCTTCAAACTTGGCAAGCTTTAAGACTTGTGGACTTCAACTCCCAGAATTCCTGAGCTAGCATGACTGGAGGAGGAATTCTGGCAGCTGAAGTCCACCAGTCTTAAAGCTGTCAAGTTTGAAGTCCCCTGCTCTAAAAAGATGCAGACTACCAGCTGCCTGCAAGGAGGATAAATCCTTCTATTCCCCACCATCCAGTCAGAACAGAAGAAGCTTCTTGGATGAAGAGCGAAATATCTTCAAAATTAAAAAACAACAACCCACAAATCCAGTTGCCTCCTGAAAAAAAAAGCACCTTTGGGACAACGGCCTGGATGACTGACAATCTCTACAGACTTCTAGCTATACAATTTGGGATGAACATCCTTTGACTGGTGTGGGAATAGGAATGGATTTCCAGAGGGGGCAAAAACTGCAGAATACAGGAACCATTTGCACTGCTCAGGTGACCCTGAGGAGGCAGACAAACCTCCAAGTGGCCTCAACGACCCTCTCAAAGGAGGCAAATGACCACTGTCTGCAAGGAGGATAAATCCTTCCATTCCCCACCACTGTCCAGTCAGAGCGGAAGAAGCTCCTTGGATGAGAAGCGAAACGTCTTCCAGGAAAAAAAACAGAAAGTCCAGCTGCCTCTTGGAAAAAAAGCATTTTGGGGACAACCCTGACCTGGAGGACGGAGAATCCTCTACGGACACCCACCCAAAGATCCAAACAGGATCAGATGGCAATCGAGGCTCGGTCGGTTTCTCCACCAGGAGATGCCCCCAAACGCTCACCTGTTCTCGATCTCTTGCTGCAGGTGCTGGTAGTCCTGGTGCTGCTTCAGCTCCTTCATCTCATCGAAGCGCTTCAGCAGCTCGCTGGCCTCCTCGGAGGCGGCCTTCACCGCCTGCTCCTGCTGTTCCAAGCGCTGCTTCAGCTGTTCCTGCGGGAAAATAAGGGAGGAAAGCCACAGGCCCCTGTGCTCACGAACGCCGCAGTGCAGGCGGGCGTTTTTGCTTTCTGTCCCTGCTCACTGGCTGCCATGATCCAATCTGCTGGAAACAGAGAGGGAATGCTGCTGCTTGCTTTTAACAGCTCTTGCACCCAGGTTTTCTCTCTATCCAAACTTTATCGGTGATGGTGACACCCCAAGAACAGAGGTGGGATTCAATTTTTTTTTTTACTACCGGTTCTGTGGACATGGCTTGGTGGGCATGGCAGGGGAAGGATATACTGCAAAATCTCCATTCTTTCCCCACCCCACTAACCTGCTTTCCAGCTCCGTTCTCCTGTGTGCAGGACAACCAAAGGAGACCCAACCAATCATCTGGGACTCAATGGGAGGCAGAGAAGAGATGGGGTTGGCGGGGCCAGTCAGAGGCAGGATTGGCCGGTTCTGCAAACTACTCAAAATTTCCTCTACCGGTTCTCCAGAACTGGTCAGAACCGGCTGAATGCCACCTCTGCCCAAGAATCAAACTACATATAAGAACAGCAAATAGTGCTTTGCCCATGTGGAAAGTATGTCTTGGGTTCTCATACCATAAAGGACATATAGAAATAATAATAATAATAATAATAATAATAATAATAATAATAATAATAA